TATTTATAAAAATAATTTAGAAACATTGTATGTTAACTTAAGTATCGCTTTACGGGTTTTATTAACGCAACCGGCAACAGTTTCAAGTGGGGAACGATCGTTTTCACGGTTAAAAATTATAAAAACCTATCTTAGATCAACTTTATCACAAGAACGTCTTGTCGGACTTGCGTTGATCGCAATAGAAAGTGATGTATGTGATCAAATTGATAACAACGAGATAATTGAAAATTTTGCAAGTGCTAAAGCACGAAGAGTAAACGTTTAATGATTGTTAATATCTATTTTTTTAGATGTAAAATAGCATTTGTATTTTGTATACTGTATAAAAAATGTAATAATAAATGTAGTATCTGCTATTGCTTTTTATTTTAGTATTTAATATAAGTAACACTGGAAATATGTAAATTTAAACGGTACTGAAAATTTTTTAAACATTTTTAGAAGGGCGCATTTTCTAAGATCTGCATAGGGGCGCCAAGGGGGCTAGCGCCGCTTCTGCAAACAAAACAAAAAGAGCTTAACCAAAAAAGAAACAAACCAAATAAGAACTAATAAACGCTATAGAAAAATTGAACTGCAAAATAGATCAACAATTGGGTAGAAACTCATCTTCTTTTGAAGAACACAAATTTTTTGAAGTTTTTGATCATTTCGGGCAAAATCTCTGGCAACTTTTATGATGGAATTTAATTTTCTCATAGCACTAAATTGATACAATTCACAACTTCCATATTTTCAGTGCAGCAACCCAAAGTGTTGTCCTTAAACTTTGACAAATTATTTAGTACCACTCATGTATAATTTTTTGATAGAGTTATTGTATATTAACAAAGATTTATGAATAAAAAAAATTAACTTACCGCAAGATTAGGCTTATTAAAATAATCTCTATTCCCTGATATTAAACATTTATAAATGTCACAGGTTATTGTTTCATCTTGAATAATTTCATTTGTCCACCATAAAATAACGGGATACTCTTCTGTGTAATAACTTCGTGATAAAAACTAAAAGCAAAAACTTATTGAAATCCTTGTAGACTTTCTATCGTTTAAGAGTTTATTGAACTTATAGTTAACAAAAAATATTGTGAATAAACTCGTTTGAACTTAACTAACCTGTATCAAAAAATATCCAAGAATCACACAAATTACTAATTTCAGTCTCGTCCTCATCGTTTTATAATCATAATAACCAATTTTTAGAAGTATTTTTAAAAAATATTTAATTGTTCCATGAAATGACCGGAATTTACTGTTGATAAGAAACTATTAATACGCTTAAAGATTGAGCTCAACACATTAGTATTCTTCTTAATTCTTAAAAAATTCTTGATATGTGTGTAATTACGTTTAACAATATTTTCGTAACGTAGTTGAACATTTCGAAAATAGAACGACGAAATTTTTTAGATTGAAGTAAAGGAAATAATTTGCCAATTGAGTAACATAGGTTATTTCAGGTTATTTGAGGTTATGTCACATAAGGATAAATGGCTAATATCAGGGTGACTCATACTTTTTTTTATTCATAACTTCTTATTTAAATGTTTCATGTTTTAAAAAAATTAAATGTTTTTAATTAATGAAGAAATTTTATATTAAATTAATATATTAATAACTAATAATAACACAAGTATTATTTTTTTAAATGTTAAATTAAGGCTAACTTCAAGATGATCTCTTGTGTTATGTTGTTGTCAGAGGTGATTGTATCTCCCAAATATTTAAACTGATGAACCCTTTCAAAACTGTCATGGTCCATTGTCACGTTCTGTCCTATTCTGTCTCGACGTTGTTGTTGTAAACGTATTGTTTTATCTTCGTTGTTTCGTTTTATCTTCGTAAATCAACTTGCTTGTAGCACCTTTCAGTTTAATAAACTCTTCCTGACATCGATAGTTCTATTTCCCACTATAATTCAAGGACCTTGATTTTTAAAGATACGATGTTATAATGCATCTCCCTGTTTGAGACCATTGTTGATCGCAAAGGTTTTCTTGAAACACTTTCTGCACTTGTAGAGCCCTCCACACAGGTTTGTGTGAGATTAATTAATTTTTTCGGTATGCCTAGTTCTGCCATGGCACCCACAGCTTCACTTTCATTATGCTATCGTATGCCTGTTTAAAATCTATAAATAGGTGGTGTTTGGATTTCCTTGGAAACTTGGGAAATTATAGAGCAAAGGAAAGAGCTTATAAAAATAAAAAAAAATATTCAGAAAAGATGCCGCAAGGACAAAGAGATGGAATTATACGCGCAGTGAAACAAAACCAAAGACTTGTTTCAGAAAGTCAAACTTCTCCCAACAGATTTCAAACCACGTAGTTACGCAATAGAATCCGAACAAGACACTGTACTAGAGGATATCGAAGCAGTTTTGGACGTTTAGTAGAAATATTGCATAAAATTGTTCAAGGATCAACAGATCCTGCGGAAAGAGGAGAGAATTCTTAACATAAACGAGATTAAGGTAAAAATCAATTAATTGTACTTCTCGGTGATATACTTTACTCACTCTACCGGTTTCGATACTTACAGTATCATCCTCAGAAGATCGTCAGAAGCGGTTTCTTAAAACAGAACAAAAAGGTTGAAAACATTGCAACACTAACAATAAGCGATTGATCATCTACATGTAATTGAACAAAAGTAGGTAAATTAACACTAATTAACAATCAAATAAAAATAAAAATGAACGAGATTGACACCCGAGTAAGATTCTGCTCTGAATTATTAAACGCCGTTTGGAACCTTATTGGCATCGGCAGATCCCACGCGAGCTGACAGGTTTTATAAAGAGAAAAGGGATCAAAGAATAAATCCTAAATTTAACGCAACTCATAGAAAAATGCCAAGAATTCAATATCCTAATGGTCATCTGTTTCTTGGATTTCTTGGCTTTTGACTACGTCAATTGGAAATGCTGTGGAGGGTTTTTAGCAAGATGGGAGTGCCTCAACAGCAAATTATATTCATAAGAAAACTCTGAGACTACAACATGGCCACAATGAGAATAGAGAACCAACACTCATTGTTTCTTAAAGCTGGTATCTTTAACATCTATTGAGAATACATAACACATAAATGTAACCTCAAGATTAACGCAGAAAAAACAAAAATTATGGTCGTCGATCGATTTGATGTTGTGCAACTGACGAATGTTCTTAGAGAATTGAAAATCAGAATAAACACTCTTTAAGTGTTTTTTGAGCACACTATACAAATAGATGATATGAATATGGACAGATAGCTACTTCTGGGATGAGCAACGGGAAACGTTGAAGGACGAAGGTCCATAAGACGCTCATCAACCCGATGTACGGACCAGATCAGAAAATTCGTTTTCGACCGACATTTCGTTTTACGGCTTTGTGAATAAAGCCCGAAACCGAAGTCAATGGAGAGTAATGAGAGAACGACTAGACAGAAAAGAATATCTAACCTACCCTTGATCGATTCTCTCTAAACCACACTGGTAAGCTCCCATTTGATATTCTACATACGCTGTCAACCGTTCCAGTAACATTAAGGAAAAGGTTTTATATCTTGTGTTAATAAGACGCCTTTTGTATGTAGGGGTATTCTTTCTAATTTGGTAGATTAGCTGATACAAAGCAAGCATCAAAGTTTTTCCTCCATTTTTTAAACATTATGTCGATATATTTATGTTTCCTGGAGCTTTGTTATTTTCTGGAGCCTCTGTCGTCGTCGCGACCTATAAGATCTATTGTAACTTTAGCCCTTCAAAAGTTTAGGGCAAATGTAGGTCCTTAATGAATCTTAGTATTGCTGCAAGGTCTTGTTCCTTTATGTCGGTGGGTGTCAAAAGAGCTTTGCCGAAAATTTTGTGTCTTAGGCGGCCTCTGGCGACACAATTACACAGTATATGTTCAGCCCTTTCTGACTCGTCATTGCAAATTCGATAAGTTTGATTCTCAGCTTGTCCAATGTGGAAGAGGTGGTATTTTAGAGGTGCATGACCGGTCAGGAAACCTGAGAGCGTCCTTAGATCCCCTTTGCTGAGGCATAAAAACTCTTTGGTTTTGTTTTGCGACGGAGTTATCATACTTATCGCTTGCCTGTGATCTGGAAGTTCTTTCCAGCGTAAAGCTACCTTTGAGGCTACTCAACTGTTAATTATTTGTTTTAGGTGGCTATTTTGTAGTTCACAATCGGGTTGGGATCCAATGAAGGGCATTTTCGCTGCCTCTTTGGCCAGCTTGTTCGCTTTCTCATTGCCCTCAATGTTTTGGTGATCTGGAACCCACCATAGAGTAACATCATTGCCCCTAGCGAGTTCTGTCAGGTTGCTGGTACACTCTCTGATCAGTGCGGAGTCAATGCAGGCCTGAATTGCCTTTAGGGCGATTTATGGATGCATCTTTCTGTCCCTTTTGTAGGTTCAAAGCGATGCAGAAGTTTATAGCTTGAACTTCTGCTGGAAAAATGGTTATGCTCAAGCATACTCCGGATCCGGCAGTCTTTTGAAGCATCAGTGGCCATGGGTCTGATTATTGCTACGTAGGCCCAATGAATCATTCGTGGTTTGAGGCTCCACTTCCTTCCGAGGAGCCTGCAGCAGATCTGGTTAGCCATAATGGCCTTTTTCCTCACCTTGTCTATATGGGAGTTCCAGCTTAATTTACTGTCTAGTATTACCCCTAGGTATTTAACTTCTGTTTTGAGGTTAATAGTTTTAATAAATAAATTATTTCGATTTTGTTTGGATTGATGCTGAGCCCATTGCTTTTGCATCAAGTGCTGGTGAGTACTAAGGCTTTCTGCATTAGTTTCGTTAGGATTGTGTCATATTTACCTCGGATTGCGATTACCAGGTCATCAGCATACCCCTGAATCATGAATCCATTTGTTGGTAAGGTGTTCATCAAGTCATCAACTATCAGGCACCATAGGATAGGTGAGAGCGCTCCCCCTTGGAGACACCCCCTTAGCGCCTTAATAGTCAACGACTCTCCTCCCAGTCTGGCGGATTTGATTGTCGACGGAGTGATAGGTGATATCAAAAGCTCTTTGGTTGTAATTGTTTGCTCTAAAGTGCTAGTCAAAGCATGGAGAGCAGTAATTGTTGATTTTCCTTTCTGGTAAGCATATTGACTCGGATGGAGTGGATTAGTGACGAGCATTCCATTCCTAAGGTATTAATCATTTACATTTTTTCATCCCTTTGAGGAGAAATGAAGTTAGGTTAATTGGTCTATATGCCTTGGGATTGGCGTTTGAACGCCTACCACCTTTAGGTATGAAGATCACCTTTACTTTCCTGCATAGTGTGGGTATATAACTAAAGCTGCAGCTTAATATATACGGATATTATTACTAGGACTTACTAAGTTTTCTATGCCTTTTTGTAGAAAAATAGACAGAATTCCATCCCCTCCAGGTGATTTTAGGGGCTTTAAATTAGAAATAGCCCACTTTACTGTTAGGTATAAAGATGTTCCCAGCTATGCTGCGATCCTCAATGTATTTTCTTGAGCTTGTGCCATAGCTTTAAGATTCTCTCGCATTCGTTGTCAAGCCATTTTCTCTTCTTTCTTTTTCCTACTGCGAGACCAGGTCCCGTAAACTTCAAACATTAGTAATCATCAGTATTGATAATTGTATTTTATTTAAATTAAATTTGAAATTTAGTAAGTAAGCAACTAATTTAACACGTTTTATCTTAAAAACCATTATAAATTTGAATCAGTAGTTTTATGTTTAATTGAAAGAAATTATAAATTGTTAAATTGAATGATTGCAAGAAAAATGTTGGCATTGCGAAATTATAAATGCGGAATTGAAGGCTTTATCGAAGTTTTAACGGCGCAGACTCCACGAGTAACCGACAACGTAAAGACGTCAGTTCAAAAATCCCTTCTTTCCATCGTTCGGCCTCGAACAATACGGTCACCATCTTCTTGTGAAGTTCGGCTGGCGATTTAGCGGTAAGTACGTAGATAAAAGAAAACGTGGGGCCGTGAACAAAAAATCTTGACACATGTCACCGTGTAATTCGAAAGATCGCATTGTGCCATGTGTAAATTTGTTTTTTCTATGTTTATTTCCTAAATACGCAGTTGTAAATTCGTATACATACAAAACCATTATAAAAACGCCACCACGTTACCACGTTTTAACATCGATAAGCTAAAGAAAGCACATGGTTTTTACCTTTTTATTACCCCTTTTTATTATTGTCTTAGTTGAGAAATAAAAGGATGGCAGCTGAAAACGAACGCGTTGGTGACTGTTCGGACGACGTTGACGCCGTCGAGGAAGAAGAAACCGGACCGATTGATAACAAAAAAATTCTCAACTATCCAAATTTGTTGGCGGCGGCCGAATTGATGGCGAAGCAGCCCCTTTTACCGCCGCCAGTGAAACGACGTGTCAAAGCTTTAAAAAAACTCCAATTAGAGGCGACCAACATCGAGGCGAAATTCTTCGAGGAAGTCCACGATTTGGAGTGCAAATATCATAAATTATATCAACCGTTATTCGAGCAAAGGGGTAAAATTATTTCCGGAGGTTACGAACCCAACGATGACGAATGCCAATGGCCTTCGGACGAAGAAGACGAAGACATGGCTAAAGAATTCGATAATAAAGCGAAAATAACCGAATTAAATGCGGAGAAAAAGGAGGAAGTAGACGAAAACGTTTCCGGAATTCCCGAATTTTGGTTAACGATTTTTAAAAATGTAAGTCCCTTATCGGAAATGATTCAAGAACACGATGAACCTATCCTAAAATCATTGATAGATATCAAAACGATTTTTGTTGAAAAACCCATGGGATTTATCTTAGAATTTCACTTTTCCCCCAACGAATATTTCACCAACACCATTTTAACTAAAGAATACGATATGAAATGCGTCCCAGAGGAAGATGATCCGTTCAGTTTCGAAGGTCCTGAGATTTTTAAATGCCGAGGTTGCACCATTAACTGGAATAAAGGTAAAAACGTAACGTTGAAGACTGTTAAAAAGAAGCAAAAGCACAAAAGTCGCGGTTTGGTTCGTACCATAACCAAAACCGTACAAACGGATTCCTTCTTTAACTTCTTTTCGCCGCCCGCCGTCCCAGACGATGTTAACGAAGACGACGTCGACGAAGATCTTCGTAATATATTGACGACCGACTTCGAAATCGGCCATTATTTACGCGAGAGGATTGTTCCGAGGGCCGTCTTGTACTTTACGGGCGAAGGAATCGAGGATGAAGATTACGAGTTGGAAGAAGAGGAGGATGATGACGAAGACGACGAGGAAGAGGAAGAAGGCGAGACAAAGGGAAACGCAAGAATAGCTAACGATACTGAATGTAAACAACAATAAATATTATTTTTGTCATTTTCTCTCCGATAATTAAAAAATTATTGCTTCGACACAATGATTATTGTAAAAAGAACGTTATTGTGAGAGAAAATTTATATTGATCGTAATTCGTTAACTATTAACGAGCATTTATTTAGTTTCTCTTGTTTTGTTGAATAAGAACGTTGCCTTTGTCGAGGAAATTGTTGTATTTGCGAAATACAAGTGCGATACTGTTAGTAAATTATTTATATTTTAACTGTTTCCTCGTATTTTTACTTAAAATACTGTATTTCTTCGCATATCTTTTTGGAATGCTTTAAATATTAAAAAAAAATGAAATAACTAGTAAAGTTTACATATTTCCTAAAATTTCTGTCTTCGTTTTATTTAATTAATTCAATGGTGGTACATCACCTTAAAGAACATCCTTACTTAATTCTGATAAACAGCAGGTGAATTTTTAAAGATTCACTTCCATAATAATAATCTTTATTTCGCTAAAATACAAAAAAAATACATAATAGTTATTTATATTACAAGTGGGCTAGAAACATAATTACAGTACGAGTGTGGAGAATTGCACGAGTACTGTAATTATGCTCTAGCCCACGTGTGATATACAGCATTTTATCTACGACTGCTAAAAATTACTAAAAATCAATTTCTTTAAAAAAGTCTATTTGACATTTATAAAAATATTTTGAAATGATTGTTGACAATTTTGAATTGTCAGTTTCATACCCCTGGCACTTCTTAACGTCGTGTTCGTACAAAGTGACGTCATTTTTAGTATCGGGCTGACGGGATAGATGGCGTTATATTGCGTTATATTATGTAGATATCTACTTTATCTTGGCAATTTAAATTAATAAATATTTTAGGATTTAAGTAGTCGTTTCGTCAATTTGTTTTTCTACTGTTTTCTAAGTTGATTGTCAAGTTGGTTAGTGTTTTGATGCGGCTTTGTGTTTGATAGTAAATTTTAAAGAAATTTACGAAATTTTATTCGTGGTAAGTACATTTGATATACTTTTTTTTATTTATTTCATATTATTATATTATGATCTCCAGTTTCATAATAAATTTTTAAATATAAGTTGCCCTTAAAATAATTTCCATATTATTTTAAGGAAACTAATACTCATAAAACACCTCTGAAATTTAAACATTGATTATGGAACTGGATTAGGTATTTGTAAAATAAATATACAGGATGATTTATAACATACGGACGAGACTAAATGGGTAGGTACTTGAGGTCAAACTGAAGAGATTTTCTTAATAATGTTTTGTTAAAATCTTAATAGTTACATAGATATCGCATGTTAATTTTTTAAATAAGTTAGCGTCAACTTTTGAGAACCGCTGATATTCACTAAAGAACAATTAAAATACTTGTCAACGCCATCCTCATTTTTGGAGGCGCTGTCAAAGTAGACAATTTAATTGTTTAGTTTTAATACGTAATTTATGAAAAGAAATAATAGATGTTAATTTATGAAACGGATAATAATAATGTTTTAAATGCAAAATTACAAAATCTCTAAAACACGAAAATAACATAATAATAATAATAATAATTAATAATAATCTCTTTATAACATATGTTCAAAGTGCTGTTCTTGCATTTCGACGCACAACTGCGCACGACGAATCCAATTTAACGATAATCGTGGAAATCTTGGACGTATGTCCTCTGTAGGCAGTGATGCGATGTCGTAGTTCGTCGATTGTATTAACCTCGGTGGCATATACTCTATCCTTCATGAATCCCCATAAAAAAAAGTCCAATGGGTTAAGATCGGGACTACGTGATGGCCATGGAATAGGTCCACCTCGACCAATCCATTTTTGCCAANTACGTAAAATAGCTTAATATTACCAAACTTCAAGAATCTCTAATTATTATCTCGAATTATCTCTAATAATAAGAAAGATATCAGCTAAGAAAGTAGATAAAAAATTACAGATACAAGTTTGTTGTTGGAAAGTTTGTTGCTATCGGACAAATGTGGAGGAGGCTGAAAACTAGAAACATAAAACTAAAGCAAATTCCAATATTTCTAAGCACCACATAAAGACTGAACATAATATAAATTATGGAGGAGTTGAGCTTTTACATTCGTGTAACAAATTATAAAAATAATAATAACTATCTACTTATGAATGAACAAGTTCAACTTTTCCATAAACCCATCTTCGTATAATTTTACAATATACATGTTGCTTAAAAATCGTCAATCTTGCTTTTATCGATGTAATATCGCCCAAATAAGAATTTTGTGTAGAAATTAGATTTTGAGTTAGAACATAAAAAAAAAAACAAACATTATAAACATTTCAAATAGATTTTTAGAATCTATTTGTATCTTATATTCTATTCAATTTCTTTTTTCGAATCTATCTTTGCTCCTAGCTGGCGACGCTCTTGTACATAGTTAATAGACACACAGTCTATGTAACGACAGGCACTTAATCATTATGACCTATGCGAAGTTAGCTCCAAATTTTTCTAGCCCCCAATTAGATAGGATTTTACATGTATAGTATTTTGATTATAACAAGAAAACCAGTCAACCGATTTCGATAATCAAAATCTCATTCGAAAGCTTAATCTTTGGCCAATACGAAAGTGGAAATGCCCGACTCGAAATCTCTCGCGGGGTCATTTCAATGGCTGTACGCACATAATTAGTAAATTTTGAAATCGGGCATTTCCACCTTCGCATTCATTGCAGATCATACTTTCGACCGAGATTTTGATGACTAAAATTGGTCAATTAGTTACGAAGATAATTGATGTGTTTAATTAATTCGTTTGTTGTGTTTTAATCAAAATCCTTAAATATTTCGAATCGGGCATTTCGACAACAGCATTCAGCCAGACACAAACTTTCGATTGAGATATAAAACATTAAAATCCGTCAAACTGTTCTTTAATTATAGTCGATTTAGTTTAAATTAATTTTTTTATATTGGGGACTATACTTTTGAGCGTTCACACGTGCATAAACAACGAGCCGAAGACGGTGTCATTCCGAGGGCTGTATAAAGTTAGCGGGAGAGAATTGAAATCGAACATTTTGTGATTTCGATAGAAGACACTATGACGAATCGAGTGACGTATAGATCTTGATCATCGGGTACATTGTTTACGAGTTATCACCACTTAAAGAAGGTCAATTTTGTGTTATTTTCGTGTATCTTCGCATTATTTTGGCGTTTTAGCGAAATTCGAAAGAGTTTTCAAATCGGGCATTTCCACTTTCGTATTGGCCAAGGATTAAGCTTTCGAATGAGACATTGTTTATCGAAATCGGTTCACTGGTTCTCATGTTATAATCAAAATACTATACATGTAAAATGCTATTTAATTGGGGGCTAACTTCACATAGGTGTCATTATGAATAATTATGTTGTAATCTCAACAAGTTTAGTGAAAATAACTTTTTATTTTGTGCGTGGGTATAAATTAAACAATTTCAGGTTAGGATTTAATACGAAAATACATGGTTAACATTGCTTGTGTTGTCAGTTGCAGGTAATTGTCATTTGGTTAAATGTACAGTTTGTTGCCATCGTCACACGGGTTATTTTTTTATTATTATTTTGTAACGTCTTCTTTAATATTAATTTTTAATTAATTAACTATTTTAACTTAAGTAAGGTACTATTAAATAAACTATTATACTTATTTATCATTTATATTTACAATATAAAGATATTTCAGTCGTTTGACATCTCAATTGATACACAATCTATTAATATAAAGTCTATTAGCACACATTTGGTAGAAACAATTCTATCTAACGACAGGTAATTGTCGTTATGCTTTGATAGCCTAAAAATTAGGTTTTCATCCGAAAATATGTTGTAATCTCAACAAGTTTAGTGAAAATAAGTTTTTATTTAGTGCGTGGGTATAAATTAAACAATTTCAGGTTAGGATTTAATACGAAAATGCATATTTAACATTGCTTTTAACTTCCAAAACAAAACGTCAAATCGCAACTTTAAAGTGATTTTTCTGTAAGTACTACACTTTTCCGCACTTTTTTTTTATCATTTACGCCTCTTTTGACTCATTTCCAATCGATTAAAAAAAAATCATCGATTTTTAAGAGAGACTCCTAATCTTGATATATGCCGTAAATTTTGGCAATGTAGGGAAATAGGTATGCAGCGGTTGGTAACACCGTAACACTTGAAAATAGAAATTTGAATTGACAATTAGAAACTGTCAAAACACAAAATGTATTCACCTGAAAAAAAATGTTTCATGTACACCTCCCAATATAAGAGAATTGCTTAGTGTTCAATGTCCTCATCATTGTGGACCTTGTATTCGATGTTAAGAACGTGTTTAAACATCCATAGACAAAAATTGTCACATTGACAACTAGAAAAATTAATGACCCAATGTCACCAACTTGAACTGGTTCCATAAAATGTTACTAAAATCTCATTACAGCATCGGATGCTGTAAAGAGTCTCATTACAGCACCCGTTTGAGTACTGTTATAGCTTGCATTACCGTAGCGAATTACAAAAAGTACTTTACCTGCCGCTAATTGCTGTCAATTTGAAAAAAATGCCGTTGAACAGCTAGATTTGAACCCCGTACCTTCTGTATGAAAGCGCACTTCCCTCTCCACTATGCTACCGACCTTTGATACATAGTGTAACTTTACCGAAGTATATTAACAAAACAAATCGTTTGGCACATGTCATAATATTGGTAAGTTAGAATATCTTCATATCGTTAAATTTTGCGGTTGGCGATAAAATGTTGTATGCAATACGTCAGCAAAGTGTCTTTATCGAACTCGCCTGTTTACTCGCCTCGCTCGCAAACTCAGACTCGTTCGATAAAGCATCACTTTGCCGACTTGGTACATAAATAACTATTTCCTTTTTTTGATTTTTTTTCGGGGGTAAATACACAAGAGCTTGACTTTTAATCGGATAATTTTATTTTTACACGAAAGTTTTGTTACCATGGAAATAACTCGAAATCAAAAGCATGATGAAATCGCGACAGCTTTAGCTGGAGCGATTTTATCTTTTGATTTTGATTGAGAGTTATTTCCAAAGGGTAACAAAACTTGAGTGAATTAAAAATAAAATTATCCTGATTTAAAATCAAGCTCGAGCGTATTTTAGGGAGATTAATACACGACAATTGCACAATTAATCGACAATTTTTAATTATTTATTAACTATTTTTGACTTAATTATAGTTGTCAAAAATGTGACAGGTAAACAAAAGTATATACAGGGTGTCACACAAAAAGAATCATAGTATTCATCAAACCATTTCATTTGATAGCTGGGTCATGAAAATTGGAAGGTAAATGACAGAGTTATAGCTTG